CATGGGGTACTTTCATTTCACTTATGAGTTTTTGGTACCTGCCTTTTTTTAATCGTCTCTGTGATTCTGCTTGTGATTCTGCATTCACTTTCTCCTACTTCTGTTAAGGTTTTCCGATCGTCATGGTGGGCATTTCATTGAGCGTTGCGGCTGGAAAAGATGGAATTCAAAGTTATACCAGTGACAAATGGTAAGATAATTATTTAGTACTTGTCTCTTCATCTTCTGTGTCTTCCCACTCTCTCTCTTTTTGCTACAAAATATTTGGTGTATTTTGATTCTGTTTCTCCTTTGGATGCTTTGTTACCGGTAAAAGGTGTGGGTTAGGGGTTTTATCGCCGCTGTGTTTATTTTATGTTCTCCTTTTACCTTTCAAGTTGTTGGCTGTCCTCGACTAACAACCTGATCTGGATATTCGTCGCATTTGTGGCGCTCGTTGAAGTTGTGAGTTTATAAATGATTGAGGCCACTTTATTACTTTTTATTTACCGGAATTGGCTTCTATTGAATACTTCTTTTTTCCCCGGCTCCTTTACAAAAAACATGAACACCTTTCTGTTTTTGACCACCTGGCTCAAAGTTTGCAATCTTCCCAATTATAATAACCTGCATGATTTTTTTCGGCATTTCTCATTGTAGCAGTATGCAGGAACGTATACCATTTAGTTCTCCTTACATGAAGATTTGGGGTTCAATTTACAGAGAGCCGAGGGATTCAGACTTTTTCTTTCTCTTATGCTCGTAACAAGACCGCTAACATCTTTTCTCTTTTCGACGACGCATTTCACATTTTTTCCAGGTCAACATTTTGATACTCATCCAGGTCCATAAAAAGATGAGCACACTAGTGCAGCCAATGGTGGAAGACAAGCATTTCCGGCAGATACGGTGGGATTTGAAATCAGCATTTTACAAATTAATGATAATAAATAAAATTTAGGGAAAACAGCATAAAGCAATGTGACAGAATCGTTGTGTCAATCACAAATTCCACTCTAGTTAATCTTAAATAATGAAACATTAAGTGAAGGAAAAACACTCCCATCAATTAGTCCACAAAACTTATATTGCTGTCGTTCTTCAGAGTTAGCATTAAAACATGCGCAATGATGGTGCCACTACTGGGCGTCACGTGGTTATTTGGTCTTTTGTTACCCTTACACAAAGCTTTCGCCTATATTTTCACCATCTTAAACTTCACTCAGGTAAGTTTTTAACAAAATTTGTTAAATTTTAATCAAAGGTTTGCATACTTAGGCGCTCAAACTACACCTCAGGTAAAAACAGACACTAACTTTAGTCAGATGATATTTCCCATTCAAAATGATTCTAATTGATACAATAAATTTATTTCTCGATTCATGAGATCTGCAACGTACTTTGAATCAATATTTTACCTCTATGTTACGGGGGTTTCCAAGGTGAACAAATGATCAGAGCATCAAACACCTTTAACTCTATGCAAACTTTAGTCAACAAACATTAGCACTACACTACGACTTATTCAAAACATTATTATATTGACTAATTATACTGGAAAATAATTATCTGTTTTTAGGGTTTCTTGATTTTCGCCCTTCACCGTATGCGAAACAGACAGGTGAGATGGATATCAGACTGAGAAAGTGCATTAAGTGAATTGTGAAAATTTCAGACATAAATTATAAATTTGATAGCTTAGCAACTGATATTTGGTTGCCTGTTCATCTACAGATTAGAGAGCGATTGAGGAGTAGGCTGAAAACCATTTTTCCATATGCAGACGATGGAAACTTTGCAGAGAAGAGCTCACAACGTAACCTAAGTGATGCCGGAAATGTATCTTCAATTGAGCTTGGTCAGGATCGAGATGTCAGCAAAGTCAGGCCTTCTGTGTCCGCTTGCTAGTCAGTACAGCAATGTTTTGAATAAGTTGTGGTTTAGTGCTAATATTTGTTGAGAAATTTTTGCATAAAGGAGGGCAGTGAAAGGTACCCTAGCAAATCGTGAGTATCGCGAAGTATTATCCGATCACGAAATCTCTGCTCAAAGTCCAACTTTTTTTTTAATAGGCGATATTCTCTTATAAAAGATAGCTAGAATGGCTTGAAGCCAACACAGTGGGCAACAAAAACCGCCCAGGGGCCCGTGTGTGAATGGGCTGGAAGCAACTTCAATAAGCAACACGAATACCCCATCCACACCAGCAAAACATGTTTTAGTTACACCGGGTTTAACTGAACAAAACTACGAACCAGAGAACTGAAAATCTGAATTTTCCAAAGGATTCAAATAGTAAATAACTTGTATTCTCAATGTGCTAAATTTTTGAAGCCGACGAACATCGCTTTAAGCAGCTTCTTTGAAGAAAATAAATTTAATGAAATAGCTTTAAAACATGCTTATGCTTTGGGTGAATGTGGCATAAGATAATGTCAAGGAGTTTCTAATTTAGTAGCTTTTAAGCTGTTTAGTTTCGGTCCCGGTTTTTTCTTTCGTAACAAAACTCACGCTACCTGTGCGAGTCACGAAATTTGTTATTTGCTTCTGTATTACTTAATGTTTTTTGCAAATTTATTAGTTGAAATTTGTTAAACATAATGATAATGCCTTTACCATTAGATGTAGATTGAAAAGATGAATTTAGAGGTCTGGACAAAATTTAGAGTTTGGGTTAGCCTATTCGCCCTTGAATTTGAAGTCGCTGAAATTTGTTTATCATGATGTTATTGCTGTTATCATTCTATGAGAGATGCATTTAAAGGTCTGGATAAGATTGAGATATTGGGTCACCCTATTCGCCTTGGAATTTATGTATTACAATTTCCTTTTTCTTTAATGTGTTCTCGTATATATGCCATGAAAGAAGTTGTAGACCTAGTCAAACTAGACTGTGAAATAAAATTGGTATCGATCAAAATAATAGAAAATAAATAACAAGTACATAAGAAATGTAATGTCGCCCTGTACATTCTGTGGGTAGTTTGGTAAGTAGGCATTTTATATCGTATCCTCAAGAAGAGGTTGCTCGGTACAGTTTTACTTCAAAACATCTGGATTATATAATTATCTGCCTTTTATGGTCCTGAGGGGGGAGGGGATGGAAGCTTCTGACCCTTATATACCATGGACTTAACTCCTAAATACACCTTTAAGTTGCAAGGTGGTCGACAGTGAGCAGATAATTATCAGCCTGGTTGGATGGCCATAATTTATTGCCCTATTAGTCGATTTTCTGCTCGAACTCAGTTATGGTTACGAGTTATACTGATTATTATCTTAAGCAAAATTATACGCATTACAATGTAAATAGTAAGATTCGGAGTGTCTCAGCTGATCTGTCCTTCTTTTCAAGAAAGAATTTTATTCCTTTCTGCCTCGCTATTAAGAATTGCTTGAAGCCGATATGCCATATTTCTGGTAACCACTTGAGCGATGTCATCCAGGAGGTTCACACCAGGTAACCAATGGTGCGGAAGATTTCTTCTCTCCAGAAAAATCTGCAATGCTCTAAGAAACCCAAGGAAATGGTTCCCCAGTGCGTCTCCGTTCACCCAGTTTTGCAGACCTCCTCCCTTTATGTAGTGCAAGAAGGCGGTCTTCAAGTAGTATGACTCCAGTGGTAAAGATGTGGCCTGCTTTTTAACAACGGTTTTCACAATTCGGAGGAGCTCGTGCCTACAGCCACCATCTCTGTCCATGTACTCTAGGATCTGCTTCTCCTGTAACGAGAACGACTGCCTCCACAGGAGCTCGTGATTAGAAACAGGGTAACTCCCGTTGTAAGGCTTCGCGACATAGCAGCTCTCCCCTAGTTGGAAGCAAGGAACGAGATCAACCGATAAAAACTTCTCGTTAGTTCCTCTCCTGCAAATGTCAAGCTGTACCGCTGGCCCGTGGTAACGAACAACCAGACGGACTTCGGAGAATGGTGATTTAGCGTCAAAATCATTTACTGCTTGGACAACGAGGCTGTAAAACCAACTATCTCGAAGGCGCACAGGGTCGATATAACCTTCCTGACTTGCATACCGACGGAACACAGAGTCACCTCTTGCCATGAGGCGAACATAGCCAGATATTCTGGATCCAACAACTTCAATCTCTCCCTTTGTCGTTTTCAAAACTACCATGACATCTACTTCATCGGCAGCTTCAGTCTTCAGCCTCTCGTACACACTGCCGGTATACTCCAGTTTTAGTATTGGAAGAGACGAGCGCTGTTTGCAAAACACCATGACTTGACCTTGGACGTAATCAGTCACCAAGCGTCTGGCGCGGGCCATGTCGTCCTCGGAAATTTTGACATACTTTACAGAGAAAGCACGAAGTTTCCCCGTTAAATTTGAAGCATCTCCTCTTCTTGCCTCAGCCACTGCCATGACCTGATACATGAAAGACGACATTGACAAATAAATTTTGTCTCTGAAATATCTAAATATCACCGTAAGCAAGGAACCAGTTGAACTGGTATTGTAAAATTTGACAAACGTCTAATCGCCCAAGTTGCCTCTGAAGAAGCATGTGTTTCGGACAGTTCGGTGGCAAAGGGAAACAAAAACTTGTCCAGAATTCGAAGAGAATATGCAAACATTGACTTTCTGAGTAAAAATTTCTCTTAAATACAGCCGTGTGAGCTTGTTATGGAGCGCTCACTCCTCGACAAACCTTCTGGCATACAATACGAGACAATACGATAGATTCATCTTTAATTAAAAATGGCCGCTCTGTAATTTGCGTCGAGGGGCATTTAATCTAGTACGATTATTAAAACTCTTAAAATGGCAGCAGAAGATTTCAGCAACTTCGGATATTTTTTAAAAGGATGGATTTATCTCCCTTATAAACTGCCGATTCTGCGTGAAGGTAAGATGAACGGATAGTGTGCGGTTCTTTTCGATAACAACATATAGCCATGACTAAGTCAAATTCATTCATCGTATTAATTTCATTGTTTTACTTACTCCTTTCGACAAAGAGTCGATACAGGCCTTGCTACTTGAAATGATTCACTTAGTATAATGCCTCATAACCTACCTGATGCTTTGAACGGCGTAAATCGCAAGGGTTTTCCTTATACTAAGCGAGCAGAATCAGTAAAGAGGGTCCTTAAAACTTGGTTAGTATATTATATTGAATGCCAGGTGATGAACAAAGAGTCAGCTCAAAGGTAGGCTTGACCAATAAGAGTTTACTTCCGCTTTTCTCAGAAAAGTCGAGCGGTTCTCGGAAAATTGTGTCTACGCAACCTGGCATGGAGAATTATGAATTCATCACTTGAAATTATCCGTCGTTTGTGAACACATCGCTTAAAATTTATTTGTCAATTCTTCTAAGCACTCTACAGGAAGCTCGATGTGACCGCTTTTTCTAGCGCCAGATCTCCCCTCTAGGAAAACTAGGCAATGCTGCCGAGAGTTCCACGTAAGAAACGTAAATATTTTTGCCGTCGGGGTTCTCCTTTCTAGACTGAATAAATTAAATTAAGCGATTTCAACCGTTGTTTTGCAGAGGATGGTCGGGAAATGTTTAAAAGTTCAAGAAGGACTTGCTGAGCTTTTGTTTCACCACCTCGTTGCAATCGCTGTCGTGGTTTTCTTAAAGGTGCACGATTTTCGTTAATCACCTATTGTTTGCAAATCAATGGTTAAGATCAACATCGTTCTTTGTCATGACCTTTGTGTTTTCCGTTGAAAGACAAGAGGCGCAGTTCCGGTGAACTTTCCGAGAAAAACCGGAAGTGCTTACAGGCAAAATTAAGCGGTTACAAAGCCGTTGAGCTGTTGTGGTTGGAAGCAAGTAACAATTCATTTTCTTATCTAGCGGTTTTCTTCTCCACGGTTTCACTCCATCGACTTTCAAAACTTTGCAAAGTAAGTAAGTCTTTTGCTATTTCTTTTAAATGCTTGGAATTTCATCTGAAGCACGTTTTACCGAAAACGTGCGCGCCAACTTCGTGGCTTGTTCAGCCGCATGGCTGGAGTTGTATAATTTCATTTCATTTTCTTAAAGATGTCACAATTTTGTTTTTAATATGTTATTGTGAATTTCTCAGTGGCAAGGGCTCCTCGGAAATAAACAAGAGCAAGGATAGCTCCTTAGTTAGTTTGATGAAATCGTTTTGTGGTAATACGCGGCTTCCACGTGAATTTAAACATCAGTCTTAAAAATAAATAATTCAAATGCACATGTCAGATCAATTTTTATGAGGGAAAGCTTTTGTAGGGTGTGACCAGATCAAGTAGGCGAATTTCACGTGTATTTATGCTTTGTACACTCAATTTCATGTAACACGACGTATTGTTAAATGAGAGACAACTTGACTTCAATCGTTGAGATCGCAACATATTGCATGGAGGTCAAACTCAAAGGTAGCAGCACAAATATAATTAGGAATTTACTTAGGTGATGATCTATCTTGGGAGAAAAGCTTGAAAAACATCGGCCAAAGAGTCTGCTACAAGCTAATAAGTTTGTTAAATAGAATATCGAATTTTACTAAGCAAGGATATCCTTTTGATAAGTGATAAGGATACTATAGTCTAAAGAAGGAATGTTCATCATCCAATTTTTGTTCTTGTTTTTATGCCTTTTTAACAATCCGAAAAAAAAATTTATCCACAGTGTTATGATTTGTGGAAGGCGACGAGACCCAAAAAGCCACCAGGCTTATGGGAGAGGCCACCTCACTTACAACAATATATTTAAGAAAGGATAAGTGCTGCGAATGTGTGGCTTGGCCAATTCAGTGTTTATATAGGTAAAAACTTTTGGATTTTGTCTTAAAGCTAAGAAGATTTGACTAATGAGGGACTGAAACAGGAAGAGAGTTCTAAATTTAGGACCTTGGTAAAGAATTGTCAATTGCTTGAGATTTGTACGAGACAAATGCCTTCGTTAATTACTGGCAGTTGTGGTACCACAGCAGTGAATTTGGCTATTTGTAACAAAAAGATCAAGAAGCAGTGGGGGCAATAAATATTTTTATTTATAATGAAACATGAATTTGGCCATGTCAAACGTACTGACTCCGAAAACATCCAACATTTCTAGTTTTGAGAATAAAAGAGAAAGGTGTTCTCGACAGTCTGAGTTGATGATAGCCCGCACAGCTCGCTTTTGCGAAAAAATAAATTCTATTTAAGTTAGGTACGTTTGAGAACGACCAGGCGGAGTTGCAATAGACGATATAGAGATAAATGAAAGTGAAGTTCAAAGTGAGTCTGGTTTTAAGGATAGGAAAAAGCGAGACCTCAATCGGTATATTACCTTTTGATTTAGCGACATGTTTACCTACATAGCTGATATGGTGTTTCCATGTGAGATGATCGTCAGTATAGACCCCAAGGAATTAAATTGTATTGGACTGTTTTAGGGGTTTACCTCCAAAGGAGAGAGAAATGCTGGAGTTAAATTTCTTCTGTCTGGGTTTAAAAAATGATGAAGTTAGGTTTCTTTGTAATAACTGAAAGCTTATTACATTTTAGCCAAGCATCAATATTGTGAAGTTTATCATTAAGTACGGATTCTAAGAAATTTGGGTTTGAGTGAGAAGAAAATATAAGGCTAGTGTCATCAGCAAAAAGCCGAGGGTCTGTTAATTCAGAGGCATTTAGGAGGTCATTTATGTACAGAATAAAACAATAATAAGCCTGAAATAGAATCTTGATGGACACCACACTTGATTGTTGGCATCGAAGAACAAGCTTGATTGAATTGGACAAACTACTGGCGGCAAGAAAAGTAACTTTTAAACCACTGCAGAGCCACGTCACGGATACCATAGCGCTCCAATTTGGAAAGAAGATTTGTCGAAAGCTTTGGAAAGATCTAGGAAGACACCAACCGTTTCGTGTTGGCCGATTGCAGAAGCAATATTATCTACCAAATAAATAAGCGTGTGTAATGTCGAGTGATTTTCCGAAATCCAAACTGACAGCGTTACTATATGACTATTGTTTCGGAAAAAGGTAGGATCCTCTGCTTTGTAGATGAATTTTAGCGATGTTAAGTTTTTCCGGAAAAATTCCTTTTCGCAGTGAGAGATTATTATACGTGGTTAGATTTCTCTAAAAAACATGTTAGAAGATAGAGATTTTACAAAATGGACTGAGCCATGCGTTCAATATTAGACACTTAAAGGAACACGTGTTCTAAAAATTATGCGGTCCAAGTTAAGTCTTCTTGCAGTAGAGACTGGAAGGCAAGTCCTTCGCGCAATGTTGACCTTTGCCAGGGGACTGGGCAACATTAAGTGTGCACGAGCGGCTGTAATGATTGTTTCCTTAGTCCGCCACCACATAGTCACAAAAGTGTAAATGTGCAACACCTTTCAATTGGATTGAATTTGAAAAACGTCAAATTGAATTGGGTTCTTGTTTGTTTTCTTTTAATTGAAGCTACCCTTGTTCCCTTCCCTTGCTTGGTTTTATGGCAATAAATTTGTACATCATGGAAACGTTTTGTGCTCGTCGATGAGCTGGATCGAACAACACTTAAATATTTGTCTCGGAAAGAGTTTACTTGATGCCCTTTAACTTTTCTTGGATTTGAAATTATAGTGGCGCGTGTTATAGTCAAGTCCAGTTTAAAAGATATTGATTCGTTTTGGATTCAGGCTCTTTACCGATAGGCGAAGCACGAATTATATATGTCTTTCATTATGGTTGGAAATTGCATAACCTTCGAATACCGCTTGTTCAAACACTTTCAATCATCAGAAGGTTAGGAGCCGTTCATAAGTAAATCGAAATTCGGAAAATTTCAAGATTATTTTCCACTCAATGTGTCTAAGTTGAGACTGGTTAGAACCAGTTTGGCGCAAGGCGATTCGTGGGCTATTTGAAATCTAACGGGATCTAACGAGCGTTAGGAGTGATTGTTCATTTCGATTCTTTCCGTGCTTTAGACAACCATGTGGCTTTGGGATTGGTTGGTACAAGACGACACCTTAACAGGAAAACTCCGAGCTTTCTCGGTGAGGCATGTGAAGATTTCTGAAGAAGACATGACTCGCACCAGAAAGTTAGTGAAAGACTATATTGAGGACCGGATCATGGCGTACTGTCGACAGAATTCCGAGCTTCCGATACTGAATTTGCAGTATACCGGCAGCGTGTACGAGAGACTGAAAACTGAAGCTGCCGATGAAGTAGATGTCATGGTAGTACTGAAGACGTCGAAGCCTTGGTTTTGGGGCGATCCTGAGGTAATGAAGGAAGAAACGGGCTTCCCAGGCTACGTGAGACTCAAAGCAACCGTGGACTCGAAACTTCGCAGATATGTTAGTTCAGAGGGGTACATAATTCCCGGACGACTCCGCGAGCGCTGGTTCTTCAGTCTTGTTTCACGAGCAGTTACAGATTTAAGAGAAAATTCGCCGGGGTCCAACCTCGACTTCGTTGTACGTCAACATGGGCCTTCTGTTCAACTGGATATCTTCAGCAAAGAAACCGGGTGGAAGCTTTTGTCAGCGGATCTCGTCCCTTGCTTTCAAATTGGGACGGATGAATATTTCGTGGCAAAGCAACACACTAGAGACGAACGGCTTTGGAGGCGGTCATTTTCACTGGAGGAAAAACAGCTGCTGAAGCGCATGGATAAAGATGACCATGGTTGCAGACACGAGCTCCTGAGGATTGTGAAGACCATCGTCAATAGGGAGAGAACATCTCTGGGACAACTGAGGTCATACTACCTGAAGACAGCCTTCATGCACTACATCAAGGAGAAGCCTTCCAATTGGAATGGAAGGAATTCCCTGGGGGAACACTTTGTCGGATTCTTGGCTGCATTGCAGGCTTTCCTGGAGAAAAGAAACCTGCCAAATTACTGGCTTCCTGAAGTAAACCTCTTGGATGAGATCCCCAACCCGGTGGTTGTTGGGAATATGGCGTATCGTCTGAAACGAATCCTCAACAGCGAAGTAGAGCGAAACAAAATACTTGAATAGCAGAGAGGACTCTATGAATGAACTTATCGTTGACACTGTTTTAGTTGAGTGCTACTTGTCATTAAATTTTCATTGAGTCCATCAAAAATTCACATACAATTATTTTGCCAAATCAGTTATTTGGTAAGTCCTTTAAAATTTGTTATAACCAAGGTTGTAAGTGCTAAATAATTACCACTTCCTATTTCATTCAAATAAACTCAGACTGCTTGGCTAATTAGTAAGTTGCAAGTTTCTTTTTTCCCAACACTGCTATCTTAGAAAGTCCATGGGAATTGACTGTGGTTGTTAGTACAACATACATCAAATCAATATTATTTCCTTTGAATTTTCTCTTTAGAGGTCAACGCACACTCGCTCTATCCAGCTGCTGGGAGTTTTGTCTGTCTGCCTGCCTACCTGCCTGCCTACCTGCCTGCCTGTCTGTCTGCCTGCCTACCTGTCTGTTTGTCAGTCTGTCGGTCAGTCTGTCTGTCCGCCTGTCTGTCTGTCAGCCTGCTTGTCTGTTTGTCTGTCCGTCCGTCTGTCAGTCTGCCAGCCTACCTGCCTGCCTGTCTGTCTGTCTGTCGGTCTGTCTGTCGGTCTTTCTTTCTCTTCCTGACAGACAACGATAACGACAACAATAGTACACAACGAATTACTTTTCCGTGTGTCATTGCTTTAAAGTTAGCGCATATCTTCACACCCATTCTAATCCATGAATATGACGATTCCTTTGAAGTCTCGGTTCCGTTGTTTAATAGTTAGCTGGTGAGCTACGGGAGTAACTAATCATTTTCTAGCGAGGTAAGCCACCCAGCCATCCGGTTGTTCGAGGGTTGGATAACAATAACCGCGCTGGATAAATCTCTTTTCGATGGATAGCGCAGTACATTTTGATAAAAGCCGCTGGAGAGCGACTTATCTGTTGGATAGCGTTATCTGCCTTTTGAAAAACTGGGCTCAGATGTTTGCATTACTCACATGCAGGGCACAAAGGAAGCCTTTTTTACAATTTAATTTTCGATCGCGAGATCGTGAGAACGATTAATCAGAGTAACTTTCCTCTCCCCCCCTTCCTCCTAAACAACCTATCGCCAGCTAATTCTTGCAGAGAAACAAAGTCAAACAAAAAGATTAACTGCTGAGCTTTGACATTGATGTAAAGATCGAACCACAACGCAGTTGTTTCAACCTAAAATAATTACCAACATTAAAAAAATTGTAATTTTAAAAAGTTCACTCGATTGAAGGTAAGATTACATAAACATTAGGGCAGTTTTCTATTGGGCAGAATAAAGGTAACTTTGTTATTAGCCAATGAGAACACAGAGTGAAAACATGCAAACTGCTTGAAGCGCGGGAAAACGCGAATGACCAAGTCACGATTGGTTTTAGTTTTGCATCTGATTGGTTAAGGGGATGGCGCGCGTTTTCTGGACCAATCACAGAGGAAACTAATGTAACGCAATCCCAGATTTCTTAGACACACAATTGACGATTGCTCTATCATTATGAATGCAATTTCAGGACACATGGAATGAACATATAACAAGGGTTAATATAATTTATTCAGTGTACATTAAAATCACAGTAAGTGAAAATGGATTGATTAAATTTTAACATATAGTTACAATCTTGTCATCGTTCATAAGTGAAAATCAATTGTTCAAAATTTAACATAGTTAGAATCTTATTATTGTTCATAATCATTTTACAATTCTAGTGCCCATCCCATTTTCCCCTGATTTTCAAAACTGAAATAAATTATTATTAACATATTTGCGTTGCAAACTAGATTCCCCAATATTTCCTTTCCACAAGCATTGATTCAATAACATTATCTGAAGCTTAAAATTTAGATTTAGAGAACTACGTGCATTTATTTTGTTTTTCTTCGAGAACTAAGAACGTTATCATGTACCTTTTAGGGCTCCACACTGTTAGTCCCTTATATCCTTTTTTTTTGTTTTTCTCCGCTATGAAGAGTATTTGTCTACATCTGCCAATGTCCTTAAAATGACTACTATTAACTGTGTCGTTTGAATAAAGAAAATTATTATTTGCTGTGATTGAAAAAGTGGGGCCTTTAAAATGCGGCCTAGTTACCTAATATGACAAGAGAGGATGTCGAAGCGATTGCCACCACCCATACTAATATAACTGCAAGCGTACCTCTTTCACCAGTGATTACCCAAGATATAAGAAAAATAACAAATAGAAACTGATCGGTAGGAAAATCCTCGATCTCAATCTTTAATCTCGTCCGCAGAGCCTTCTCTGCCCTTGTCTTATGCAATGGGTTTCGAACGCTGGTTAAAGAACAAAGACTTCAGAAACGATGCAAGCCGATCTTTGTCACACCTTTACCCACCGTTATTGGCCTTTCATTTCGTTATCAAACTTAAAATGCTACTTCTGAGTAATATACATTTCAGTTCGACACAAAAAATATTCTTTGATTAATGCAATGCTGCAAAAACGATTCTGAAATCTAATGAACAAAAATGTGATCAATAGCATAAACTAACATTAGGCTATATTGATGTGGCGGCTTCAAGGTTAAGCCGGAAGGAAGGGAAAAGTTGGGGGAAGTCAAACTAATGGGAGCCTGCTCCCGATAGCAATATTGACATCGTCTCTGGGTACCCTGACCTTTGTCAAATAATGAAGTGGGTCTACCTGGACCCCTCTCTTAATTTCTCCACTAAATACTACTCCGAGGGAGGAGGGACATGATGAAACATGCGTTACTTACCTTCTCACTGGTCATAGTTGTGATCATTGTAGTCAGGTCACTTCGTAGTAAAAGGTCATTCAATGCTATCTCGAAATTTAAATTATCATAACTTGCAATATACAATTGTCTGGTGAACATTGTTATCCTTAAAAGCTTTACCCAAAAACTATTACTCAAACACAAAATGTGTGTCATAAATCGTGCAAAAGTTATAAAGCAAAGTGAGAAATACAGAAACTTTCTGTTTATCCTTACGCCTAGCATTTTTTACAAATTAATACTAATTAAATATTAGCTCTGTTGAGCCCTACTGAAATCTGATTTTTTCAAAAAGTAAAATTATTTTTTCACATCCACAATAAGCTGTCATATTGAATTGCCAACATGTGTTTTATCGCAAACTGACATTAGATGCGAAGTCTTTCCTGCTGCAACCGTGAATAAGTTGAGCTATGTCGCAAGCAAAACCATCTACAACAGAAATTAAACACTGGAATAAACTAATAACTTGTAAAATAAAGTGTACAGAAATAACCGTTGATAAATGTATACATCTATATACCAAATTCCTGTCTCTTATAATCACTTATCGCTTATCCCGGGAAATTATATATAGCATGTCACAGGCATTCAATAAGTAAAACGGAGCACGATAGTAAACGGCGAGGCGGCGGTGGCGGATCGAAAAACGAGGGAAGTTTGGTTCATTTCGCGACTCGACCCAAACATCTCTCGTTTTTTGCACTTCTCCGCTACAATCGCGCCTTTTATTTTAGCACTTCGTTTTACAAACTAGACACCTGGAATAATTACTTCATCGTTGAATTTTCCCGGCAAAAGGGACAACGATTTTATCAAAAGAGAAGTTAAACAAGACGTTAGAGGCAAACAGCATATGGCAAACTTAAACTTCTCGCCCTCTGCTCAGCTCAGCTGTTTGTACACTTAATGGGATATGATTAAAAAGATTCAAGCAGATCATTTTTACATACTTCCTCATTACGAAAAACTACAGTCCATCCCTATCACTGATCAATAATAGTAATAAGTAAAGGCCAACCTGTTTTGCATTTCAAAGTTCAGTTCGAACTTCTCGTAGGGTTGAGGTACTCATAGACCACTTGTCTTTTTTTGTTTCTGTCCAATATGGTTAATGCAATACACTTCAAATCGTCTAGAAACCTGCACATATCATAAACGTTACATCCATGATTTTACTCACTTGCAAATGAGGAGACACTGGGTACAAGCAACGGTGCAAAACTAACTCTGTACTCTTTTTAAAAAAATACCTCCTCCAAAAATCTTCTGAGGATTACTTAATCCCCTGACCCCTATGAGATAATTATTAGCATCTAATCTCCCCTTACAATATCATCCCTGAATCAAATATTACGAACACAAGGGTAAATTAAATGATTCCCAACTGGAGAAGCTCTTGATTGTTAAACAAATTGTTGTTGTCGACTTTTTAGGAAATACAGAGAGAAGAGAGTGGAGGATTTGCATACTGATATCAGGGTGAAAAGGATTACGATGTTCTATGGAAATAACTAGAAAAAGAGTCCTTTAACTGAAAAAGACCCGTCTCATCTGCTGGAAAACATTACTAGAAAAATGTTCCAAATTTTTGTCAACGAAGCGTTTTTAACCTTAATATAAATGGGAGAAAGATAACTGAAGTACGAAGGTCAGCTATCTCTTTGAAAGATTTGATTTTCAGCGTTTCCCCAACCTTGATCTTGTGAACCAAATATTTGCCAGCGTTGTGAATTCTCAGTATACCTTCGGGAATTTTGCACATAGATGAACTGTGCGTGATACAACAAGAGCAAGAACAACAGTAATAAATTGGGTTACCTGGAAATCGCTTTCTTGGCAACTGGGTCATGTTGGTACATGGCGTGAAAATCAGCTAAACCGTTGGTGTGCCTCTCTGAAAGGAGCTTGTTTATGACTATGATATCCAAACTGATGTTTTTTGCCGGTAAACACGCCAAGATGTCTCTTTCTTCCCTCCATTTCTAAGGAAAGGAGAGTAGATAGCACAATTTAATATGCAATATATATATTATACTTACTAGCTTTAATTTACAGGAACGACTTAGAGCTGGTGTTGCGGTTTACTATACTATCCGAAGTAGTATAAAATGTAAGTAAAAGGTTGTCCAATTTTCGAGATTCTTTCCGATCCTCTATATGCGGTCACTCTCGTTCCTCTCTACCCCAGTAGGATCTTGAGTCTCTCTCTATCCTACCTACCGCTGTGCAACAAAATTTAAAAATCAAAGTATCATGTCTAGGAATGGTAACTTGCTCAGCTTCCTAAATACTTATGCCCGTGGTTATTGCACAGAACTTACAGAGAAAGAGGGCTTTAGATATAGACATATCAACCTTATCTCTTGGCGGTTGTCCTTTCAAGATGGCTGGATAATTTGGAAGAAACGCATACTCGTCATACTGAGAAACGTTAACCGCGGCATGTCCAACTGTGCTGGTGAACATTATGGATGTTAATGTTTGGCAGAGCTGTTCTGTTGTTTCGAACCTGCCTTCACCCGGCACGCCCTGAAATGAACATCAATAATTTGATTCTTCAAGCTATTATCATGAGTTTTTTTCCAGGTCAGCAGTGGCCAGTTGATATCAAATATCTGAAAGCTCGCGCCCCCTATTCAAATAATGAATTACAATCGGGACTTTACCTTTAATACGATTTTTTGTCTAATTCCGCTAATTTGCTTGAATTATCTTTGAAATCTCCTCAGTAAATTCTGATAATTTCCTTTGTCCTGACTGGTCATTGGGATCACTTTCAGTTTTTGTTTTATACCATTCGGTGGAGAAAAGCTCTGTTGTTATAAGTAATATATCAAACACGAGGAAGAGTGTTCCATCCGATATCCAAACACCGAGAAGTGGTTGAAAAAACGAGGCGCAGCCGAGTTTTTTTTAACCAACTTCAAGGTGTTTGGATATCAGATGAAACACCCTTTCGAATGTTTGATGTAGCTTCTCAAACCATGCATTAACAATTCTTGGAGAAAATCAAAACAAAAGTTCACCAAATTTTATGATAATTAAGATCTCATATCCAGACCTCTTTCACGGTTACAATTTCTTTTGTTTTCTCAGCATGAATTATTAATGAGTTTGAGAAGTTGCATTGAAGAGCCTTCATGAAGTTGGTATTGGAATAACTAACAAATACATCAACAAAAACAATGATAACAACAAGCAGAATTTTCCCCTTAAATGAAAGAATTAAATCAGTTCAACAAAATAGCAAATACAAAGAATTTGATTACCAATCAATGTGAGTCAATTTAACTGACCTTTATACCGCACCCGGGATTTCCATCTGCCACTAGCTCCAGTCCCCAAGCCTGAAGCTCATAATCGTCTGTTAGTGTTTCTTCTTCATCTAGTTATAATCAAATTTAACGAAAATTTTTGAAGGTCCACAGAAAAAGGTGAGGAGCGACTTCTTAACAGTCAGGTTTCAGATTCAAGAAAGATCGATGTATGGAGTTATAAATTCCAATTGGTAATGTAAATGCGCTATGCTTTTTCGGCAGTGCTCAGAGAGTCTTGGCTAACGGTGCAATTCAGCAACGTAAACTTATTGATGAATTTACATTCTAATAAGTATGATAAGAGACCATTTACACATATGTAGAAGAAATACAAGAACTTATGTTGAATATTAACTCGAATTTATTTTATAACTAACACATAGTTTATGACTAACACCCAATTTAATTCTTAAATGCAGTTTTAATTTGCCCTTTAAAAGAGTAACGAGATTTCTATAGGGTCTTCGACCTTTTTTCTGCTAATACTGTATTAAGAAAATAACGTGCATAAGGATCAACGATTTTCCTTACCATATCTCGCCTCCACAATTGAAGTGACGTACTTGTTGATGGCATTATACAACATGAGGCCATCATCTCGGTAAGGATAATCTGGCAGTACTGAAGGATCAGCCACCTGTTACCATAACAATAAAGGATTTTTTTTCTTTTATTACAGTGATTATCTGATGATATATAGAGACAGATCTAAGATCCAGATCGTCCAGTTTCAAGAAAGATCGATGTATGGAGTGATAAATTTCTGGCAATGGAGAGATTTTTTTTCAGAAACGCGTTTGGTTTGATCAAGTTTGTTTGGAACTTCGATCACTTTACACTGATTTAATTGAGTCTCCAGATATACTTGCTTGTTGTTGTTGTTGTTGTTTTATTATCTTTCAACTTTTTTTATGTCTATTTTCATTATTGTCATCGTTATCATTAACATTGTAATGGCACCTTTTAGTTGGCCCTACAAATCGACAAAGGTTTGACGAATATTGTTGTTGATAAGAGTACAGGTCACGCTAAACCACCGTCGATTTTCTTTTTACCACGATATCGACGTCAACTGAGTAAACTGACGATTCTTTCAGTGCGTGACCATTGCGTGACACGTTGACGCGAGCAGCGTTGTCTGTACTCCTATCGACAACGACAAATTGACCAATCAGATTGCGCATTACTTCCAAATGTGGTAAAAAAAGGCCTATAACCTAGATATATGCTTCTGATCATGACAATTTCCTACTACTGGAGGTTACAACGAAGAATCCAGAAAAACTCGAGGACTAGGTAGCTATGAACGCAGTCGAACTAAAGGGACGAGAATGCCGGGAAAGATTTTTAAATGGCATCGAATAAGTCTATTGCTTGATTTCCCATGTTGCCACGCGTCAAACCAACACCAATCTTAATAGACGAAGGAGGTGTACAACTGTGAATGGCAAATTTGAAGCCGTGGTTTGTGGTCCGCGATAAACTTTGATCCCTAAGGTGTCTATTGCTTTTGTTCTTTACACTTCTTAATGAAAACTGAACAAGTTTTTAAATATAAACTTACTCCTCTTTGCTCAAGGTCCGCCGGTAGAGTGCCATGCACATCCATTCTCCAATCTTGCCAACTAATCAATAAAAAAAATGGATAGATTTAAAATAAAGATAAGTAGCTACGAAACTTTTGGAACAGTCTGATAAATCATAAGCTATGGTCGCCTGTTATATGCAAAGTTTATCCGAAATCATAAGATTGGTTTTTGTCAGTTTGCTGAAAAAAGAAATTCACTATATTACGTGGGAATGCTACAAGGATTAGAAGCTGTTTTCACCATCGTTCTCGTTCAAATTTCCCTCCAATTTTTCAGTGAGGCCAACCAGGATCTTGACAACTTAATGACTCTACTTAAAGCAAAGGATCGTTTCGAAAGAAAAATTGACATCAGTTCTTAGAACTTCCCCGTCTACCTTGCAAACAAGATGGTCCGACCCGACAGTTCTTAGAAATGCAAAGAGACCCATGAGCAAATATAATACATAAGCGAGGAAAGTGCTTTGAAAACCCCTGCTAGTTAAAAATATACGGGCTTATTCATCAGTGCAGAAAGTGAGCCACAAGGCACCTACCCTAAGGCTATAAGATCCTGGGTGCCCTTCGCTCCGAGAGTTGTCGCGCTGTCAATCCAAGAACCTGGCGCGAGCAATTCGTTTACTTCAAAACTGTGAGAAGAAGAGTGAATAATAGAGTTGATGAATGGCGTACTGAGAAATCTTCACAACTAAGCTTAGGCCAACCGAAGAAACTAAACACAAGAAACCCAAACTTTGAATCCAACTGCTTCGTGCCTTGCACTCAACAAATTATTATATTAACGCAAAAGGTTGTTAGCGCTATATAGTGGTCAGATCAATCAGACGAACCAACCTTAGAGGCAGTTGACTCCGTGGCGCAATGGTAGCGCGTCTGACTCCAGATCAGAAGGCTGCGTGTTCGAGTCACGTCGGGGTCAGTGGTTACTTTTATATTTTTCAGTTTAGAGAGTTTTGAAGTCTCTTCCAAAGCCTTTTTCGTTGGCCATTTATCCCATTAAGCCCTGGCCTCCATCATAGGTTTAAATCCAGAATAATAAAAACTAATCTACAGTTCTAAAGAAATATCTCTGGGAAATTAATCAAGAAACCTTTTTATCGATCGAATGTGAATAGTTAGATCCTTAAACCGACCTAAACCCGTTAACGTTCTGTAAAAGTATCACCGATGTCAAAAACTTACCAGTTCACGGGAATCACGTGACGTAAGTACGGTGCTAGTAATCTATAGATCGGATGTGAAGGAGAAAGCTGACGATGTGTTGCTATGGAAACTGCTTCCAAAAGAAGATGGGTGTATCCTTCAGAAGAAAAGAAAAATGAAAAGTACAACCAAACTGTAAGAAAAGGAGTTATGTGCTGCTGTTGATGTTTTATTTGTGGTTACTCTGAGACAACTAGTATCAGCAGAAGTAGACCAAGAGAAATCCCTTACTGGAGTTAATTAATTTTAAATGGATGATATTTTCCCAATTTAAGAATATCTAGGTCATGTTTGTGCGAGAATTACACAGAGTTATGATTTTCTCCTATCGTCTGTTGTGGCAGTCAGGGAAAACTTGAGAAAAGGAAAATGAACGCAGTAAATGCTGGATCTTTTCCCAGAGGGTGTTTAGGGAGCGATCATGGAGTTGGAGGATTTAAAGGGGGGAATATGGCCTTATGGGGGGGGACTAGGTAATTTTACTGTGACACGACATAAGCAAAATCCTCCGACCCCTCCCTCCTTCCACCAGACAATAATTAATGACCGGTCTTAGAGTGTTCTGTGAAACTCATTTATTGTCGTGGGCTTAGCAAGGGATGGTGCACTCCAGGATCGAAAAGCCTCTTTTTGAAAAACTCAATCAGAATGACTTCGCCAGGCTTGAACCCGAAATTTCAGAACACTGCATCTTCTTATTAGTACGTAAATGGTACCTACAAGTTTGTAGACTTGTTTATGTACATTGCTATACTGGTCTGAGCACAGTTGTTCAAGATAAAATGTCATTTTATATAGCAAATGAAGACACGTTCAATTTAGATCGCGCATGTTGTATCAGTACCTAGCAGTACGCATGCTCTGTGATACTGCGCATCAGCGTTGTTGAACCACATCTTTGCTAGCACCCAGGTGTACCAAGGGTCGCTGGGAAGGAAAACCTAGCCGAGAAATTAAATATGTATTTGCCAAAAAAAAAGACAATGAATAAATGAACAAAAATGATAAGTAATATAAAATATAATTGTAAAGCACTTAGGAAGCGGTTAGAACACTCAAGAAGTAGGGAGAAGCACTAGACTACGCCTCGTGTTTCTCTCTACACTTCTTTCGTGCTCGAACAGCTTCCTGCGTGCTGTACAACGGAACAGAGCACAGTCAAGGCTTCTCTATTTGTTAAATAGCTCGAGAGACACTCAATGTTTCAGTGTTGCGTGCGTATTCACATATGGCACTGAGATTCTTAAAAGAAGCGACAAATAAGCAGGAAAATATCCTAAACGACGATGAAAACCGCGTTAAATTTGTTTAGTGTTGATAATGCAAGGTGAGATACTTAGCATTGGTGTTTTTCGCGATATTTATAACTGCAAAATACTGACTGGATATTCATACCGGATTATCCTCTCCTCTCTCCTGATAGAGCTGGATGGCGATAGGAACAAGATAACACTTCGATGGACTCAGGAAGAACAATGCCATTGGAGACACAACCTAAAGAGATCCATGGAGAAATAAAACTATTCCAAAATGATAATTTGGTTTTATCAAATGAGTTGATAATATAATTTGCCACATTAAACAGTTTCAAACCTAACTCATCGATTATGAAGCCCCCGTGGCGCAATGGACTAGCGTGTTGGACTTCCGGTTCGAGTCCCACCGGGGGTTGGAGTATTTTTATTGTCTCAAACATTAAGTTCTTTTTATTGTTGAAGCAGGAAAAGTGCCGGTCAGTCGGTCTTTAGCTTATGAACTCTGTGAACTTACAGTTTTGTGTTCTTAAAGAAACCATTACTCTCCGCAAAATTCACTCTAAAATGAAGAATTTCAAATACTTTTTTTGATTTGTTCGTTTTTTTGTTTTGGCGTTGATACAGATGTTTTAAAAAGATCGTATGAAATTTTGTAAGTATCTTAGTAGGAATTGGCACCTTTGTAATTTGTTTTGATTCAATTTACTTTGTTCCTTTTTTCCTCTTTTTCTGACACGTTCTTGAATCGTACCACGTATCTTTTAAAAACACGAAAAAGATCTGGCGATAAAAGCAAAAGACACGTCTTTTCATCAGTTTACCGGCATTATAACCCACTCGGGATGTTAAGAGAAACACAAGAAAAGTTTGTAAACCACGAGCCGGAGGCTAGTGTTCTCGAACATTACGCCGGTAAAGCGATGAAAAGTGTGATCTTTTGCTTTTATAAGATAAACCTCAATTTTCTATGGGTTTGGCGGTGCAATGACCGATAGGTTTTTGACCAATCAGGGCGTTCGTCTTATCACGGTTATTTTATACAAACAATGTAACTAACCTTTCTTGACTCATCTAGTTCTAACCGGGCCAAGATTTCTAAATCGACAATAAAGATCCTGTTTGCTTCCAACGCCATTTCCAACGTTTGTCCCTCAAGAAATGGCTCTAGCATTGCTGACGTAACAGCAAGCCTACGAGAAAGCATTTTGTTATATAGGAAACAGACTGCTTACTGAAACATAGGCACGTCGAATTATAAGGTGGGCGTGTTTTTCAATCATTTATGGAGGGTTTATTAAGAAGCTTTAGCATGAATTTCATGCAACGAATCTCAAAACACAAACTCACTTGTCAGGTACTTCGGTGCAAAGACGAATCAGCGTTGGATTACAGCCACACAATCTCTGTCGAGCGAAATGCACATCATCTCTCCAATAGTTACGTCCCTGAGGGGAAAAAAGAGAGAGAGAAAAAAGAAGAAGAAAAAGGAGGTAAACGACAGGCAAGATTATGATTGAATTAAAGAATTTTCTTATCAAATATTCTTCCGAGAAATTTCAGGAAACTTGAAATTAAGTCACTCTCGATTGCAAAAAAATGAATGATAAGACCCAATGGCTTCATGGGAAATGTTTGCACAGTTACATAATCACTGCTTCACCTTTTGGATTATTCAGGGCAAATCTTCATACACCTTCATTCTTTGATTCTGACTAAGTGGCAGTTTTTTATATTTTTGCTTGTCGTCTTTAAGTTTTTCTTATCTTCTTCTTCTTCTCTGATAAATTCAATAGACTCGTCAACACTACCGCAGAATAATAAACGATTTCGTACAACGGATGATATGAATATTCAGCATGTGCTGTAACTCTGTATAACAATGATCATTCACCTGATCTGCAAACGATCAACTTACCGCTGGTTTGCCAAATTTTCTGTCAAAAATTTCGTCAAAGTCATGAAGCGAGTTCCAAGGTTCATAGCCGTAGTCTGGCAGATTGAAAGCGTTGACTAAACTAGATCGCCTCACAATGATATCCCACTGAAAATGAAGAGGAAAATTAGATTGGTGTAAATTGCCATGTGTTATGATGTTCTTGTGATCGTTTTTGAGGACCCCGAAAAAAGAGAAATAAAGAGGATCAGGCAGATTCACAATCGATATCGACATCTGTCGTTTTAAAGTGATCTCAGCGTTTAGTTAAAGTACTGATAAAAGTTTCTCGTAAGACACTGTGGAATGCCATTTTTTTAACATGGAACACTACGTTTGAGATCGTAGCATCATAGAACAGGTATTTCAACCAGTAAATGTTTTCCGTTTACGATGCATAAACCGTGAAGATATTGAAAGGGAACTAGGTAATGTTTTGGTCAAGGCTAAATAAGAGGCAAACCGAGTGAAAACAAAAAAAGGAAATAGCTGAAATAAGATTTAAATTAATCACTGAGTACTTTGTGAAGCTCCCGTGGCGCAATGGACTAGCGTGTTGGACTTCTAATTCAAAGGTTGTGGGTTCGAGTCCCACCGGGGGTGGAGTATTTTTATCAACTTTTCTTAATCAACTAAGTTTCCTCTCTCCCTAGTTGAAACATGTAAAATGCTAATCAGTCTTTAGCGTATGAATTCTGGGACAAAGACTTAAATTCTGTGTGTTCCAAAGAGCTATTCATCTCCTCGAAACGTACTCTAGAATGATGAATTTCAATGCCGTTTTTTATTTGCTCATTTGTTTTTTTGTTTTTGTTTTTGTTTTTGTTTTTTATTTTGGGGGGAGGGGAGGGGGGGGGGCTGAGAGATGAGCAGATTTGATTCTTTAAGTCGATCGATTGAAATTTGAGTAACTTGAGTGGAATTGGCATCTAAGTTATTAATGTCAGTGCTGTCTTTTCTGCTTTTTAAAAATGTCACTTGCTTAACAGAATAAAACTCCTCGTATGTTTGTGACTATGGCGCGACTTCCTGGAGGCAATAGAAACCTGCGCATGCTCACTGGAACCGTATAAACGCAAAGGCTGCAAATCACCAATACATGACGTTTGTTGTAAACTCTTTTGAAGTTGAACAAAACAAATTTAGAATGAGAATTCGGATAATTGTTAATAGGTCTTGGTTTGGCGTTCAACCTTGTTTTAAGCCTCAGGATAAGTTTCAGGTGCATGCCGGAAATGAGGCCGCCATGTTTTCCAATGAAGTAATATTTTATTACCAAAGTGATCCTCCGTTTCGAAAGACTAGCCTTTTCTACCTGTTCTCCTATAGTTAATCTGTCCTGAGATAAAGACAAGTATTCTTTACAAGCAACAAAGACTTTATGTCGTCTATGATGCATTGTCTGTCATAAATACCATTCTCGGATCAATGTCAATATCTGAGCAACTGCAGCGATCACTCCCCTGACCCGAAAACAGTAAACTGAAAAAAAAGGTTAGGGTTAGTGCTGGGTTAGGGGAATGGTAGGTGTATAGATGCTCAGATACTGATATTGATCTGCGTTCTCGTCTGGCAACAGCATAAAGACTTCAGAAGTGATTTCTAACTTGGAAAAAAAAAATGTGATACGATGACCCCGACGTGACTCGAACACGCAGCCTTCTGATCTGGAGTCAGACGCGCTACCATTGCGCCACGGAGTCACCTATAGATACATTTATAAATAGGTTGGAAGCAGTTTAGACAAAGGGCTAACGCTCGAAACCTCAGCCTTTTAAACCTTTTACGGTGGCCAATTTACGTTTTCAACTTTCCCTGATAACGTTAATTGGCCACCGTTCAGAGTTTGAAAGCTGAAATTTCGAGCCTTAGCTGTTAGTCAGAGCTAAAGACGAGGGGCTAACACTCAAAACGTCAGCTTTCAAACTCTTAACGGTGGCCAATTTACGTTTGATTGATCTCGTCGCTATACGAGAAAAACCTTTTGCATTTATCTCTGATTTAGTTTTCTCGGTGAGTCAGACAAAACTGTGATCTCAGAGACTCACGAGTAGTTAGTTTGACCGCGAAAATAACAGAAGTTGCATCTAGAACAACTTTAAACTTCATCGTGGACCACGGCCGAGAATTGATTTGAGCACTGAGAGGAGATGAAATCTTTGGTACGGATTGACTTCATTTAAAGTTAGCATGACGCAACCAAACATACACAAAACCAGTCTGAGAAAAAGATGCGCAGGCATGGGGAATGGTTTTAAAATGTAGGCTATTCAATAATTATTCACCGAAGTAGAGGTGCGGCAAGGTAAATATCCATCACTTTTCCCGGCCCGCCGCTGAGGTGAATAATTGTTTTAGTATATACCACACAGAAACAAAAAAGATTACTTATTTTCTGTCACAACACCCAAACCTGGTCGGAAATAAACTGATGACGCGCGATTTTGTCTCTCCGGCTGCTCGGAAGTAAATAGTGCCTGCTTATCACTTCCTAACCAGCAAATCAGCGCGTGCGAAAAGCAGTATCCACTTGAGTGGTATATACTAATTAAAAATCATTAATTCACCGAAGTGGAGGCGGTGAGTGGTGGATATTTACCGAATTGCGAAGCAGCGAGGTAAATATCCACCGCGACTCACCGACACTGAGGTGAGTAGTTGTTATCGTATTAAAATAAGTGATATAACACGGAAAAAAAAGATGATTTTAACTCATTTATTCCTGCAGCTATTACAATATTTTAGGGCGCAAATCCCGCACGCGTTGCTCGGAGAGAAATAGCAAAGAATATTCGGAGTTTAAGTAGCCAATCAGGGTGCGCCTTCAAATCTATCCACTGTTTTAGCACAACTAATTAATGCAAATTCAGAAGTTACCATTTTTTCTGAGTTTTAAGCGACAAACCGACCTTAGCTGCGCTAAAAGTGATATTGCGAGCTGGTACTAACCTGATGATTGCAGCTAAAAACCTCTTCTTTCGGGCAGAAGCTTATCTGAAAAAGGCAAAGGACAAAGTACCATTAGCGTACTTCTGGTATGTCTATGGTATAACATGTATACGTTGGTATAAATTCAGTAATAAACAGACTAATGACAATATAAAGCGGTAGCCTTTGCAATATGCAGAGGATATTTCGTTTTTTCTTACGACTCCGGAAAATGATTACAAACTGGCCCTGAACTGTGATAGCTCTTTAAAAAAAACTGCGTCAACATCTCCGAACAACCCAACATGATAATTGAACCCCATCGTTTTTTCCGACCTAGCTCTAAAATTACTAAATTTTCTTTAAAAAAAATTTCTGCCTAGAAGTTAACCTCAGTCCTTAACAACGGGGAAAACTCTTCTTTTGCGAAGATGATGTTACGCATGCCTTTCAATTCCTGGCGTGCTTACGGCGTTGGCTCCTGATTGCGGAAGATTTAAAAAAAAAAAAAGACGCGAAGCTCAATTGCATAGACGCACGCAAATCAACACCGAATGACAGGTCAACTCGTGAAAGAGTTCCAACGGTCAAATATTTGCTGAAATGTAACGCCGGTGATCAGTGATCAGCACAACTTGGAAAAAAATTAATAATTTTGGAAAGTCTCTTATGAAATTCCGTTTTTTCCTGTTCCTAGTTTAATTACATTGTACCTACATATGGCCATTTTCTATGCAGGAGTTCGTCCTTTTAAAGATGGCAGCTTTCCAACAAGTTTAGGCAACAGCTAACCAGACTTCGAAAATTTCTCTCTTTAAAACATTTTGCACTCGGTTTGAGTAATAAGTAATCACAGTGCCTTTGTGCAATTAAGATCATTTTACTTCTCATTCTGAAGCTTTCCAATTTGCGTGGAATCTTTCCTCGAAAACTTTCTAAGCTCAAGCTAAGTTTTTTTTTCTCCCGGTACGCGCACCGAGACTGGAGTATATGAAGCCATGGCTTGCAAGTATTGAATTTTGCGAGTTAATTAACGAAGACTTGATTAGTAGTGTCCCATGTCTCACCTGAGGCGGAATTCCAGGTCGTCTTCTGTAATATCGATACATAGTTCTTTTCCAAAATAATTCCGTTTCCCTTTGCTCAGTCTCAACATCAAACTGAGGTAAGGTGCTATCAAACATCCTTAAAATTAAGGGTTGTTTGTTCTTTATCCATCGATGGCATGGAAATATAAAATCTTCGTAGTCTCCTGCGGTATAGCGTCGAATTTCAATCGTTTCAATGAACCATTCTACATAATTTCTACGACCCGTTGCATCCCGTCGAACGAATTCGATTTTGCAAAAGCGTCCGATTTTCACTGGCTCGCAGATCTTAAAAGTATCCGTGTGGCCTTTCTTGAACACCGTAACACAACACCCTGTCAGGCATAATTCTTGAGATCTATTTCCTTTTTCGTCAATGATCGTCAAATAAGCTGTATTGTGCAATCCACCACCTTTCGTGTCTCCAGTTTTGACGGTTATTACCAGACCTGGGATGTCAAAACAGCTGAAGCAATCCACCGTGTTTCCCATTTCAGTAATTCTTCGCTTGGTAAACCTGCATCTTAATTTCAACAGGTGTCAGAGGCAAAGTACGGGCGTAGATTCGATGTCAATCAATTACCGTCAGGAGATGGCAAGTTCCAAGAACATTTTCAATGTTTTTCTTGCATTTAGATGGTGATTCTGGAGAAGAGTGTTGTTGCTAGCGTCAGTCAAATGAATTGCCAAAATATCTCTTCATACCACGGTAACTCGCAGTGAACGGTCAGTTGTTTTAACCATGGATACCAACAAGCTTTCAGCCACTTAAATGGCGTCAGGTACACGCCAGCTCAATTCATCGTTTTCATCTGTCAAAACTCGACGCTTCGACTAGCTCAGCGTTCCGTTTGATAAGCTTTTAGAAGAGCTATTGTATTCCTTAATAGACAGCGATGTAAAATAAATAAACAGATCGACACATAGCCAAAAGCAACAGGTGGAATCATCCTCCTCATGAATTTTTAACTGTTTTATTTTACAGAAAACCACATTAGGATATTATAAACCGAGGTACGTTGAATTAGAAAATATTTGACATATAAAAAACTTGCGGTTTATTTTATTCTACGCATGTGAACTATAGCTACAAGCAACTTCATTAAAATTATATCTGTTCAAAGTCCTATCTACTGCGTGCATGATTTGGTGGTTTTGTATCTAAAACCCCTCTCGCGCAACGTCCCACCAATCACGTCTTCTGAACATCTTTCATTCTGTTATGGTTTAGCGAAGCAAGGGAAAATTTAAGCTGCAAAAGATTTCTCGTAAGGTCGTGAAACGTTCGCCCCTAAAATACAAAGAAGGAAAATTTCGCAAATTTTTTTCCTTCAAAGCAGGAAAATTTTAATTAACTGAATGAAGTTTCGAAATAAAAAAGACTCTTGCGCAAGAAAACCTGTAGAGTTGTACATTCAGTGTACTGATTAGGTATGCGGTACAACAGGTGTAAGCCTTGTATTATTTTTTTTAGCCCAGTCCCTCAGCATAACTAAATGTCAGTTGACTGCCAGGCTCCTAATTAATTAGCCGGTTCTTTGGCAGTTTTACAGGCTTTACTAGTGATAGAAATAGATACAAGTCATACTAGTTTGTGGCAAAACTGAAAAAAATTTGCTAGGTCTGATACTGGCAATTTCAGAATTAATGAGTCACAAAAGGTGTGAATTGTTCGCATTTAGTACTTGCAGATGTTTAAACGACGATGTAATGAAGATTCATATTGAAAGAAAAAGGAGATCCAAAGAAATGGTGGTCTCCTTGAGAAAGGATGAATGGCCGAGTCCACCCCATTAATTAGTATAAATTATAAAATTTTTTCATTTTATGTCGTGTGACGGCCCTGTGGCCCAATGGATAAGGCATCTGACTACGAATCAGGGGATTCCAGGTTCGAGTCCTGGCAGGGTCGCGCCATCTCATTTTCCCTCAATCTTTTCTTTTTTTTCTTTGTCCTTTTTCCCTCTCTTAAAATATTCTCTGTTTTCCATACCGAATAAAGGAAGGAAAACAATAATTAATTCGGAAATTGGACGAACTTCTGTCATAATCCCCATTTTTCCGACCAACCAGCGAAACAAGTTGTGGATTGATCGACTGACGCGAGCAAAATGCTTCCCTTCTTCAGTTTTCACTGAAATTTCTTCCCCCTTAACAAAAATCGGTCCCACATAGGAAAAAATTTATGCATGTAAATAAGTACAGGGGCGAGTTGGCTGTGCAACTAATCTTTAGTATTTTGATATATCAGCAATCATGATAGGAGGGTCAAAATTCTTGGGTGTTAAAGTGGAGAATTTCATTGAAGGAATATTTGATAAAGGATTTTCCCTTACTGAACATTTTCTGTCACCAATTGCATCCTTCAGTGGAAATAGATGGCACATGGAAGATCGAGAAGAAAAGGAAGCGAAACCTAGGATCCTAGACTACATGCGTGACCTATTGTACGTGACTTTACAGTAAAACGCCACTGATCGTGAGTTGACAATGGTGTACTGCAATTACCAGTTGAGGTATGGCACCGTTCAAGAATAAGTCTCGACAGTCTCGACTCGAAGCTTGAAACATTCGAGAATCGAGGATGATAGAGAATAAAAAAGAAAATTAATCGCGCGAAAATCATTTTGTCATCCTGTCTCTCGCAACTCAACTCGAACGTCTCGAAATTCGACTCGAGCCTCGAAGTTTTCGAGAATCGAGGATCCAGTTACGAGGGACGGACAACTCACATTAGAGTGGTACTGTATGTGACCGACCTTTTATACTTTCTTCAGCTCATTGAGATTGCGAAGAAGGCAGCCAATGTAAAAACAACAACAACAACAAACAAAACGAAAGTCCCCATCATTATTTAACTGTCTCTAGGACAGCTACATAGCACAATGAACCTGCTTTCGGTTTCCTCATTTTGTTTGTTAGTTTTGTTTTTCCCTAATCACAAGAAAAACCCTTGGACAACCTTGAGTGACCAAGACAGAATTTGTCAATTCAAAATCAAGCAGGCACGTGAGGAGTATGGTGAAAAATATCAACTTGGGGATTACCATTTGATCTAACGCCAAATTCTCAGAAAAAACTTAACAAGGAATGTATGACTGATATTTTAATCGTGAAAGGGTTCAGCGAAGTAGGCAACTTCTAAGAGAAGAATAACATTAATATATTCCATAAGAGCATTCCTTTTCAATAAAGGATCATTTGCTTTACTTATTAGTTAGTTTGTTTTGGTTTTTAGCTTTGATTGTTGGGGCATTTTGCTTTGTTTTTTTGCTTTTTTCTCTGTACTGTGTGGGCTCGTGTCATACAGTGAAGAAACCAGAGCTTGCTAATGATGGGACAAAGGCTTTAATCCTGCAGGTAAACTTTTACACCCAAACCGGCATTGGTATGCATATTCTCCATGCTGTTCTCTATACATTTGCTAAGGTGCTGATAAGGAGAATTTGTTCAATAATCAAGAGCCTCTTTGTTCATTTCCTTTATTGCTGTGACCTGAATGTTTGATTCAGGGGTAATAATTTCAAGAGAAATTAATGCTAGTCACTTCAAGGTCAAAGAGTTCGTTGTTCAGTGCAGAGTCATGCATGGAAGCCACATTTTTGTATAATGTTAAAGGCAAAATGCCAGCAAATATAGCGAGATGTGAACTTCAACAAGGTACCTTTATGTAACTAATTTCAAAGTACTTTTATTTTATAGGCAAGACTTATAAAAGTGCTTAAAATGCACAATTTACAAAAAGCACAAGCACAAGTAGTCTTACCAACTTCTCTAATGCATCATAAGGAAAAAGTACATTTTTGACAAGAGGTTGATGCAAGAACTTTCTAACCAAGAACTTCAAAAAATAATGTACTGATAAATCAAATAAGTTTTCAGCAAAAAATACAAAGACCAATGTAAAAATGTCTCTTAACATTCCAATAACTGAAAATTAATGTAGACATGAACTGGTTATAAATAATTGATCAGTCCCTGACTAAGCTAAGATTGAAAGCCTTTGGCAAACACCTCTTAAAACAATTGTAGCTCTTTTTAAAAGTTGCAATGTTAGTAACAAATCTCTCGAAATTTTAATTATATCCAAATGAGCAGAATTGCTTCAAACTAAACTTTATCAATAGTAGTAAGGTTCTATGACTTATATCATAATTCTTGTTTATCGTTTTTGACACAATCCTTTGTATATTCTTTGCACAAATAGTCGAAGAGGTCCTTTGTTTTCCTGTATTCTGCGTAAATTTCATCTTCTCCAATGTCTCCAACCAAACCACCACACTTCTGGGCAAGTCTAGAAAATGAAATTAAAAACTTAATTGTATTTGACCTCAGAAATCATGCAGAGAGTATGTACTTTAAATAAACATATTCCTGCATATTGCATCCAAAAAAAAAATAAATAAATAAAAGGAACAAGTGGTGTGGAGATCAAAAGAAAAAGAAACCAGGAGAGCAAGGGTAAAATTCATCATAAAATAATTGTGCCCTTCTATGAATTTTTTTTATTGTGACGGTTATTAATGACACATAGCTGTACTTTATGTTAAGAGTACTACAACATCTCCAAAAAAGAGAGGCAATTAAAAAAATTTAAAAACCTCCAATTCCAGCACAATGCCATTTTACAGGACACTAGTACAGTACTTCTTTTAAAGTATTTCTATCAGAGAGGCAACTGTGCCCATAACTCTGAGATCTGTATTTCTCATTTTTTTGCTTTATTCTTCCTCCTTCACAAACTGATAGCATTTCTTGCTGAAATTTCAGTTTTTCTATGACATGTTTGCTCAGTAAAACATTAACATTTTGAGAAGAAGTTAGATGTTAAAACCCTTTGGAAGCTTAGTGGTTACCCCTTTGCATGCTCACAAGGGTGTCCACATTCTGCATTTAACTGTTCTCAATACATTTTTTATGGTGTTGACTTGGAAAATTTGTTCACCTATCAACAGCTTGGCAATCATATCCTTTATTCTCATGACCATAATGCTAAATTTAGTAGTAATACTGTGAGGAGAATTTAGATGCCAATTACCCTTCAGTAAAGATGGTTAAAGGTAACCTCACCTGCCAGGCCATTTGCCTCCCCCTTGCATCATACCAGGAAAATCTTTTGCTTCCAAACCTGGGCCAGATAAACGATTTACACCCTTAACTGTCTTTATCCCATAGCTGAAAGTTAAAAGAGGAAAAACTAATTTGAACATGTTACATTGATTATTACTGAATGTATTATATTTTTTTTCTTTTTCTTTTGTACTCTGACCCAGTATTACTACCACATTGCCTATAGGATATATACACATTCAGATAACTGAATACACTTTTCACTCTTTTTATTGCAGCTGTAAGGTTTAATATTCTGTCACACTTGAGACCATTTCTCACCTCTGTCCACAAACTGCAAGCAGTGTTTACCTTATCTTGTATTTAAAACAAAAAATAAACTTGTAAACTGATACAATGTCATTATGAACTCAGTTTAACCTTGGATATGCTTTTTACCCTTTACACCCTAACATCAGTATATATTTTCTTCAAACTGTTTTCTATGCATTTCCTGTGGTGCTGACAAAGAGAATTTGTTCAACAATCAAGAGATTATTTAGTTGGTGATCATTTCCTTTATTCTCACGACCTCAATGTTTGATTTAGGGTTGCTACTTAAAGGAGAAAATAGTTACTAATCACTCTTAGGGGTTAAAGGGTTAAGTAGATACAAACGTAAACTTAAAAGATTTAATTGCCTTAACAATCTCTCTGATCCTTGCAATTTTAAAGTCCATCCTTGGGGTGGGTGGATATGACTATTTCTTGAAGCAAGTTTGGGTGAGGTGCTGGAATGATGGTTAGAACTTTCTGACTTTAGATAAAGAGGCCTCCATTTGAACCCCTGCTGGATAATTTTGTCCAAATCTTTGGCAAATAAATTTACTCTTACAATCCATCTCTCCACCTAATACAGTTGAACCTGTCTTACGCGGTCACACTCTGGGAATAGGGGACGAGTACTTAAACAGATTTTTCACAGATAAGGGGTATAATGGAAAAAAAAAAAAAAAGATTAAAAATACAATTTTGTACCATAAGAGACCACTTAATGTACAGAGACTTGCTCAAAAATACACCACTAACATTGATTTCGCGAGATACATATGGATAAATTTTACTTGAAGATTGTTATAAGTTTCACTTGAGCAATTCCACTTTAAAGTGACTGTTCAATACAGGTGAAGAACAAAAGAAACAGGCTGCTGGGACATAGTAAAGGCTGATCATGACTGCTTAAAAGAGGCAATTGGTTGATAGAGGAGGAAATTACAGTAATTTAAGGGACAAAATTCTGTACTATGAAAATCAAGTGGTTAATACAAGGGGACAGCTTCATACAGTGCCATTCAATACAAGTTTTATTGTAGTTAAGACCAGCTATGGCAGAGTGTGCGGGAGCCCTAACAAAATTCTGGAGGTTTACATACAATGGAAAAGCATCCCATTTCAGGGGGAGTAGCATCACTTTTTCTCAATTCATACCAAGGGGATAAGCTCTAACAGAAATTGGCCCCTTAGATCAGACCACTTTTTATGCAATATTAAATAACATATGCAGCTTCCCATCTTTAGTTACCTATTTTTAACAGGTGCACTTATGACCTAATTAGTTTCAATGATCAAATGACTTACTCATCCCAAGAATTGTCACAAACTGCCTCAAACACATCAAGATAATCTGACTCTGGAAGTGGTTTTCCTTTCAGTGATGGCTTCTTGTCCTCTGCTTTACGTAAAGCTTTGCTCATCTGTAATAAAATTGGAAAAAATGCCATAAACATTGGTATGTAATTCAGTCTTTGTTTCATCACACTAAATACACTACTTCATAAGATATCATATTTCTGTAGGCTATTTGGCTGTTTCATCATTACAAACTATTTAAACAGCAAAGAAAAGCGTTGCAGAGATTTAAAACCAAGGATAATTTTGAGAGAAAAATTATTAACTGCTGTATGTTAAGTATTTTTAAGTTCATGAAGCTGTGCAGCAACCCTAACAGTAGAGTAAAACTTTTATTAGGTAACTATTCATCGCCTACAAATTACATTAGCGGGTATAATATATCAGTTCAGCCGCCCTTAATGACAATAGCGTATCGCCACTTTACGCTGGCAAAGGCAACAAAAAAAATCTCGGCAAAGTGTTAAACTAATATTTCACAGTCGAGCAGGTATATTTCAAGAGGACAGCAAAGACTCCTTCAGTTACCTGGAATGCAATCGCAGTGCAAGCATCACACGTCATCTCAAACGACTTCGGTGTGTGCGGTGAGTGCTGTTCTTCTTCATTCATTTTTGGCGTCTCAAAGCGCATTGGTTCACCATCCTGGCCGTGCGCTTTCGCGCTCAGAAGAGCGAAGATGGCAAACACCGCAGCAACTTGTAAAGTCATCTCATTCACGAGTTATCTTTACCAAAGGGAGCAACGTGCTTTGTACAGAAGTGAACGGTTATCAAATGGGTCTAAATTTATCAAAGCATAAATAAATAAGTAGCTCGAAATGGAAAGTTAGCAAAGCGACAAATCGTGTTTTGCCACGAGAAAACAGCAGGCAGTTGTTCTTTAGCAGTATACCGCTGTGCATTTGAACGGCGCTGTTGCAGTTTCTGCTCGGTTACCAAGCAACTTATGCCACGTCGCGCGCATGCGTACGACTAAATTTACGACAAGAAACAAAGATGGAGTACTTATCTCGGGGATTTAAGTCAGTTTTGGGCAATCAACAGGGTGGTTCTCAACCTTCTCCTCACGAAACGGTGCGCATTTGTTTAAATTTTGTAATCTACGATGTGTGACAGTTTCAGACATTTATTTTAACTATCAATTTTTATCCAGGTTGAAAGATTATGTGACCGCGTAGCCTCTTCTACGCTGCTGGAAGATAGACGGGATGCTGTTCGGGCGCTCAAGTCTCTCTCGAAGGTAAATTTTTAATGAAAATTAAAAGGCCTCACCAGAGTATTCTCGTAGAAAAGCTCGATCTTAACCGTAAAAATTCAAGGAGTTTACACGAATGTTCCATGTCATACCGTTCTGGGATGGGAAAGAGGAGTTTAAAACCGTCGAGGGCATTAGGAAAGGAAATTGTTGTCCAATAGAGTTTCTTTCATTGACGGCCTAATCAACTTCTATAACAGAACTGACCAAAATTCTAGCTTGCGCAATGGATTAGACGTCGCCATTAGCTTAATATTTGTGATCTAAGTATCTCAGTTAAGTTATCCAACGATGGAGTTGTTTATCAATTAAGTTGTCAAACAACTAGTACATTGAATCTTCCTCTCACACAATTCCTATAAAATTATCAAAACTCCAAACTTGTTGGTTAGGAAGTCAACAGTTTCCCATATTACATTCAAACTGATTAGGGCTCACAAGTACAATTGTATATTATTACAAACAAAAGTTTTTCCACTGATTGATGAGCTGAATGCTCTTTTCAATCTGTCTCAAGAAGGCTGCTTTCAATATATGATAATGTTACAGTTAGGATAATCACATTCAGCTCTGAGATTGTGTCCGGTAGTAAGGATCAAGATCTCTCTTTTTTTTTATCAGAAATTCCGCCTTGAAGTTGGAACACAGTCAATGGATCTCTTGATAAATGTGTTACAAACAGACAGGTAGGCTGTGCAGGGCTTCAAGCTAAATTTATCTCAAATTCCCCATTTAGAAACCTAAAATGATGAAAATAATGGTCACCAAAACATATAATTTAATCAGCCAAAAACTGAAATTAGATAAGGTTAAGACCTTTGCATATCAAGAAGAGATATTTTGCATCCTAAATGAACCGCAAATGACTTCATTTCTTGACAAGGTACATGTATTTGGTTGCATGGCATAGTATTCTGATTAACAACTATGATGACAAAATGATTGCCTCTAGAATTTTCTTTAGTGACTGATCAATCTGTACCATTGAGTGCATCTACTCTCTTTCCTTGTTTGGTGTTGACAAGTTTACCCTTGGGGATATTTTGGCAAAAATAAACAGATACAAACATTAACATTTTAACAATAAATTTGAACTGTAATACATGTCCATGTGTTTTTTTGTCCATTTTACTTTTAATCTCTCTGTTTTTTGTCTTCTGTTTCTTTTTTTATAATTTCAATTTTGAATTCTGTTTGATCTTAAAATTTTAGGAATGACACAGAGATCACAGGTTTAGCCTTACAAACTTTTTGCAACCTGCTTTCTGCTGATCCAGCTCAAGGTGAGATTATATAGATTTTAACCCTCTGACTCTCAAGATCTGATTGTTAATTCTCCTCTCTAGCTACTACACATTTCCTTGTCAGTTAGTTACAAGAATTTGGTTTTAGATCAAGGTAACAACTTCCACCTGATAAGTTTGAGTATTCTCATTACCTTTTTGCTGGATAATGTATGGATATCATAAGGAGGAGTTACTTATTAATCACTTGTAGGAGTTTAAGGGTTGGATAAAGAATATTGTGGGTTAAAATTTGGATTTGGTTGTTACATGTAGTTTTTCTTTCTCTAAGAATCACAGCAAATTTAATTTGTCAGGAACAAGAGCAAATACCAATTAGACCAGTTTCTTTTGAAAGGAAAATTCATTTTAAACTACTGTAATACTTTTTAGAGTGTGAACCCTTTCACTCATAATATCTTGTTAATGATTCTCCTTACTATCTGCCATTTAATTCTCATGATGTTGGTGTGAAGAATTTGATATTGGATCAATTTATAATCCCCATAATTTATATTTTACTCTCATCAATTTTCTTCATGTTGTATTGATATTGTAAAGAGAAATTCTGCCTTGGTCACTCATGGGAGTTAAACGGTTAATACCAATTAGTAGCTGTAACTCTAGATTTGTAAATAACATACATGTACTATTGCATTTAGTATTAGTAGTATTAGCAATGAAATCATCCATTATCAATATTTTATAAATTGACAAATACTTAAACAATTTATTGTCAAAGAAAATTTAGCTCTATCTTATTTTCTTTTCCAGATGAAGGTGGTCGAGATGCCAGTCAAACTGCTTCTGATGTTGAATTAGGGGTTCAGTTTACAGAAATTTTCATCAAGAAAAGTGATAATGTCACTTTGTTACTTGGGCTTTTAGAGGTGCTGTATACTGTATACAGAAGAAAGTTTAAAGTAGTTACTGAATTTGCAGTCAGTGATTTTTGTGCCAATTTTTTCCTCTCTAATCTTATACCTATATGTCTTACTATATTTGTTGATATAAGATACATGTATAAAAAAAGTGATGGGTCATTTGAATTTATGAGCAATTGCTACTGAGCTTAGGAAAAAAAATGGCTTTTTGGTTTCCCTTGTCTTGTTGCGTCATCCTGTATTACATATCAGGTGGTATACAAATTGTGCTAGTGATTTGAACAGACAGAACAGGAAGCAAATTTTATGCTGTTAATACTGATTACACAATAAAATTGTCATGCTGAAGATAAGTAAGATGTTTTCAAGCCATTTTGTTTAGTTCTTCCTTTTTTGTAAGTTGGTCAAACCAGGATATGTTATAATGTAATCTTTTGAGCACTCCCTTAACCTTATCTGATGAGATTACATTTTACAGGCTTACACTTAGAAACATGAACTAACAAACTGTACATTAATTTTCAGGAGTATGAATTCCAAGTTAGATGGCCAACCGTTAAACTTCTTACTGTGTTACTGACAAACAAAAGGTAAAAAACTAAAGACAACCTTATCTTAAATTTTCACCCATATACTGTACAGCCTGTATTACTGACTCCTTTTTTGTACACATAGTACTTTACATATACAGTATATTAATAATTTTGGTGCATTTTTACGGATTAATGAACAGTTATTACAATAATAATTTAAAAAATAAGTTGTACAATCGTGTAGCTTACATTACAACTCAAAAATGCATAATTTGACAATGCAATGCAATTCAATCCTTTGAAGATTGAGGCTTGAGGCCAGGTTTGAGCTGTTCAACCAAGTTTCAAGATGCACTATGTTTCAAGCATCTTGAAAACACAAATGGAGATCCTGGAAAAGCTCTTTAAGAAACTCAATCCTTGATTTGTGATCCTTAATTCTCTAAAGTTTCAAAGTTCAAGAATCAAGTTTTGAGCTGAGACTGTCTACTATCTTCTGAGGAGTTCTGTTAATAGATCCTTAATTTATTTTGATTGATTTTGATTAAATTTTCAGTTATCAACTGCAGCAGTGCATTCTAGTAAGCCCCATGGGTAAGTTGAAGAGCAACACTTGTATATGCCATTTCACCCCTAACAACATAACCTTTTAGTTCTCTTATTGAAGAATTGATTGGACAGTGTGACTGACCATCATCAGGCCTGCTGCAACCCATATACTGTATGAAGGGCTTGTTCAGGGCTCTCAACAGGTCTTCACTGCACAGTACCTGTGCCTGCCACAAGTCTATTTATATGTTATGGGTGGTTGTATGGAAGACTCATGCATTGTACATTGCACATGAGTGATTGCAACTTGAAAATATTCCAGGACTCCATTGGTTTTACCTTTTGTTTTATTCTGGCCAGTCAGATGCAATTACATCATGCTCACTCTTATTTTCTTGTGCTTGATGTTGAGGCACTGGAGGCTCACATTTTCTTGCACTTGCTCTGAAACTTTGATTTTGAGTTCTCACTGGCTTCTTATGATAACTTTTTTCCTCAAATAAGAACATACAGTCAAATAAGCACCCCCCTGACTTAGGCCATAATGTCAAATGAGTGTCCCTCTCAAAAAGTGTCACCCCCTCCCCCCTCCTATTTCACTATTTTATATACTAGTAGGGATACAAGGAAACATGTTCCTAATGCCACCCTATTAAAACCTTTTGAGCTTCTACTACAGCTGAACCAGTACAGGAGAAAAGTCTCTTTTTTGTTCAAGTTCTTTCTATCCCCATATGGTTGTTTTTCTTTTATATAATTGTGTTATCAGTACTTTAATTTTTGTCTTATTTCTGTACCAACTTTACAAATGCTCCCTCAATCAAATCACCCTCTTTGCAACAAGCGCCCCTCATTTTAGCCAGAACTTTTAATAAGTGCCCACCTTCTATTCAAGGAAATACACTAGCTCTGAAGTAAATTGTTTGCAGTTGTTTAAAATGCTTTTTCTCTTCTGAATTGTTGATCAAGTCTTCTATTGAGAGGAACTTTGTTTTTATTTTGTTTTGTTCTGAAGGTGTATCCAGACTAATGGACTTACTGTCAGACAGTAGAGAAATCATTAGAAATGAGGTACAGCTCATGTTTATTCCCATATAAGGAATAAGGTTTTTATAATTTTTATGAAGTTGATTGCAGCTTCAAGTAGGTAAGGCTGTTTCTAAGGTGATGAATAAGACAATATATGTCTGTAATATAATTTGTACATGTGCATTGTATTAATTGGTCATTATGGTACTTACAGCTGTGCTCAAGGAAAGAGACCAACTGGGTCTTTTTGATAACATAAACTATTTCCAGAGTAAGTTGTGTGTCAAACTGTAACTGAAACAATCTGCATCAGTAGTAGATTGCTTTTTTATCAAAAAAAAGATCTTCCTTCCTCTTCCACTTGGGAAGTTTAGAGAGCACTCAAGAAGCTAGAGTTGTTCTCAGCTACGCCTCGAGCAACTCTCATGCATCTTTTGTGCTTTCCAAACTTCCCGCCTGCTTCATATCTTGATGAATGCATGCTGACGTATGAACCAATTGTTAATTGGAAGATGAAAACTAATAGTTAAGCACTCAATAAGTAGTTCAAGATGCACATGCATCAATGAATACAAAAATGTATGTACATGTAGCTAGGAGATTTGTCATCTAATGCATTGTATATTGCCTTTTTCAGGGTCTCTTGTTGCTAATACAGCTTACCAAGTCTAATGCTGCTATCCAGGTTGGAGCCAGATTTCATCAGTTCTGTGAACTGTTTCAATCTTTGCATATGCACAATATATGTATAAAGTACAATCTACAATCTACAAACAATAATTATATGTTTTTTTTTCTTTCTTTTGTCCCCCTTCAAATAGAAAATTGTTGCCTTTGAGAATGCATTTGACAGACTCCTTGAAATCATTACAGAGGAAGGTTACAGTGATGGAGGTGAGTGGAGATGTAACTATGGCAGAAAAGTTTTGTGCCATTGCATTGTATGGGTTGTGGTTACTTCCGAGAATTTCCAAGAACAATCCTATCTGTGAGAGCTAAAATCCCAGTTGATCTTGCCGTCATGGTTGCGGAGGAGCTAGATTTTTAGCTCTGTTTTGTTTTGTTTTAACATTTACATGTATACGTATATAAACTAAGGTATATTTTATAACACAGAAGTGTTCAATTTGGTTGCTGAAATGACACTGACTTATCAGTGTGAAAAGACCACAAGTACTTAAATTTTTCTGTACAGATTGTATGAGTGCAATGCTCTTTAATAATCCATTGACATTTTAAAACCATATGTGCATCTATGTGTGGTAAAACAGCTATGAAGACATAATGATTGCCCCCAGAATATTCTTCTGTGATTACTTAATCTGTACTATTGAGTACCTCTGAGCTGTTTTTTCATCATAATGTGATACAACGTACATGTACATTTGAAATCTTTCTTGTTCTCATGCATATTGCTGGACAATGACAATAGTTTTTCTGGTGCCATGATAACTTTTCTTGCAGCCTCTGGTATTTTTAAAAAATTTAATTACAACAAATCACTATGGGTGTATTGTTCTAAATTATATATGATCAGTAAGCTAAGGTTTTCATTACATACTGGTAAGGATCCAGTGTGTCCCTGAAAAGCCCCAATGGGAAGAGGTCAATAAAATATTGCTAATATTGCATTGTAAGTTCCAGGGTAATTCCAAAAAAATTTCAGTTACTTGAAATACTTGATTTGCTCTCTTGCAGGAATTGTAGTGGAGGACTGTTTGCTACTGATGCAAAATTTATTAAAATTGAATGTTTCAAACCAAAACTTCTTCAGAGAAGGGAGGTATGAGATTATTTTTTTTGTTTGTTTGTTTGTTTTGAAATTGTTTTTTTTTGTAATTGTTTGTTTTGAAATTGTCTGTTTTGTCCCTTTATTGTTACTCACTGTGATGTTGCTGTTCTGGTGGTGGTTGATGTTATTGATAGGTCTGGTTTTTTTTTGTTTTAGTCTTTTGACATTTTACACCCAAATATCAGTATTGATATTCTCCATATTAATTTTGTCTTTATACTTTTCCTTTGGTACTGACAGGGAGAATCCATTTATTTAACAACCACAGTTTCTTAGGTTGGGAGTCACTTCTTTCATTCTCATGATCTTAATGTATGACTCAGCAGTTTTACTATCAGGAGAAATTAGATGCTGGTCGTGCTTAGGGTTTAAAAGGGTTCATTTGTGGCTGCAGTTTATTCTTTTTTTAGTGGATGTGTCTGTGCTTGTTTGAAGTGATGTGTTTTTTTGTTACCCTTTGTGTGATTCTTTTTGTCTGTTTTCAAATCTTTCTTAGCAACAACTATATAGGAATATACCATTTATTGAATTTGTTTTAACTTTTCAATATTTTTCAATTGTTGTTGTTACCAACAGTTATGTTCAAAGACTTACTGCATTCTTTGAGTTGGATCAAGTTTCTTCACCGGCCACTCCTGGTCAGTCTTCTTCTTCTGTATTGGTCAATTTTTTTTTGTCTTTTGCACACAAAATCCCTGGCATTTTTCAATGACAGTTCTACTTGTAAGAGCCATGCAAATCTTTCACAAATAAAAATATCCATATATTATCCATCAAACTGGTAATGAGAATACTCAAAATCATCAGGTAACAAAAATACTTGTAGCTTATTTTAGAGGAAATCTGTAGCAGTTAGAGGGAGAATTTACAATCACATCTTGGGAGTTTAAGGGTTAATAGAATTTAGTAACATGTAAAAGACAGCAGTGGTTTAAGAAGTTCTCAAGTCAAGCTTAATTATTTTATGAATAAAGGGGGTAAGTTTCTAAAGAAACTGTGGTGCTGCGTCGGGGGGAGAGTATAGCAGGTAATTTAGCATTAACAACTGAAAACGTAAATTGGCCACTGTAAAGAGTAAAAAAGCTGACGTTTCGAAAGTTAGCCCTTCTTCAGAGTGATAGAAAAAGGGCTAACGCTCAAGATGTCAGCTTTCTTACTCTTTGCGATGGCCAATTCACATTTTCAACTCAGTTGTTATCACTTAACTACCTTATTTATGTTATGTTTGGAGAAAAAGCTCCTTGCATTGCTCTTTAATTTATGCAGCAGTTTCAGTGAACTGTTATGTAATTTCAAACTGGCTGTATTTATGATGCCTTATCTTCTTGCAGAAAATCAAGACAGTACATGGTCAACACAGAAAGTGTCAAATATCAAGCTTATGTTGCAGGTGAAACAAGGAAAGACTACATTATGTATAGAAAGTTGTTAGCAGAGCAGGAGGTGGTGTTTAAGTTACTCAGTACAGTTGTATTTCTCAGTCAGCATCAAACAGAGTTTTGTCTGTTGTTTAGCTTATCAGCCTTGTGGTCTAAGTTGACCAAATGAATTAGAACCTGCTACTAAAATGGTTTTATCATGTTAGACATTTTTGCTGAGTATTTTGACATGTTTTGCTGTATGTTGACAAACTCCCAGGGAAAGTTGAAATACAAACAACTAGTTATCGATCTAATTCTAACAATTAAATTATTGATATCAGGGCTTGTATTTTTTTTCTTTTTCAGCTTGTCAGAGTGTTAGTTTCTCCAGACAATCCTCAACAGGCCACAGCCACTTGTCAAAAAATAATGAACCAATGTGGTGAGTGCCATAATACTGCCTGCTTGAAATGACCATCAATTGGTAAAATGTTAAAGCACAATACAAATTTACTGTATAGTTACTGTAAGAGTGATGAACAAATACTCAGTTATAACCTCAGTTGTACTGTCAGTACCTATTGCATATTGGTCTGGATAATTGAGTCTTGTAACATGGATGAGAAACAGCTATGATGACAAAAGGATTGCCCCCAGAATATTCTTCTGTGATTACTTCAAATCCATACTGTCAGTCTCATTGTCTGAGCTGTTTTATTGTGAGTTTTCCAATTATTTGAATGCTCCTGATAAAACCAGGTCCATTCAAAGACTGGTTATCAACCGTGACTAATTTGAATTTTATTTCACAATTATCTACTTGGAATGGTAGAGCATGTCTTTACCTATTGACTTTCATATTGTTACTCTCCTTCACCCAGGTTAAAAATAGTCAGTAAAGAAGCCTGGTGGATTGTTCAGGGTTATCTTGTAATTAATAAAAATTCTTTTCAAAGCGATGGGGAAGGGGATGAAAGTGACAGTGCACAGCAACTTGTGAAATCAGGATATATTCCAGCAGCTGTGGGAGAAAATTTAAGCAGACTTAACGTTGATAAGCTTTACATAAGCTCACGTTTGCCAATTATTAATTTCTTTTGTCTGCATTAGGATTGTTGAGGTTACTTTGTGGTATACTTATGTCAACTGGAATTCCTGCCGACATCCTCACTGAGGTAAAGTACTTAGTGATGTACACTTTATTATAAACATTTACAGTTGCATTCATAAGCCTATGTTATAAAGAATACCTCCAAGAAGCTAGAAATCTGTTGCACACTGTGGTAGGCAACAAATTTTAGTCATGAGTAATGATCAATGTAGCCTTTAATTTGCCACTGAAAGCTAAACAAGTGATCTGCAATAATTTTGGGGCAAGTGGAATATGCCTTTGGCACTTTCTTTGTCTGGCTTAGATTTTATATCATATTTGCATTTGTGGTCAGATAAGACTGTCTTATGAAATGTTAAGTTGAGGCCGTTTATTAATGCGATTTTTGTAATGTTCCTTCATTGAATCAATCAGACTATCAACACTGTATCAGAAGTAATCAGAGGATTCCCAGCAAATCAAGAGTACTTCTCTCAAGTGAATGCTCCTTCAAACCCCCCTAGGTAAGACACTGTCATTTTGGAAATGTACCATGTTTTTTCTCTATCTCTTTTTTTTTTTTGGCACAATTCCACAACTTTCTCATTAATATTACTATGTACGCATTGCATGCTTACGTTTTTTTTTCCAGTCCTGCCATTGTTGTCCTTCTCATGTCCATGATAAATGACAAGCAGCCGTTCAACCTTCGCTGTGCTGTCTTGTACTGCTTTCAGGTAAGTTCCAATCTAAGTCTTGTGTTAAACATGCTTTACAAGATGTCCGTAGGAGTAACTACTACAATGAAATTTAAAAAAGAAAAGTTAGTTGAAGGCCGTATGAATGCAAAAATGCTTATAGGTACTGCCACTGAACAGGCGTTGTATTAAGGAAAGCAATTGTTTTGTTACGTGGGCAAATATAATTTTATGGAATGTTCAAATTTCAAATCCCATTCTCCTTAAACCACTTGACAGGGCCACCTCCACTTGCTGGCTCAACTTGATCCATTGTAATATATTTTATTTTATTCATATACTTTGATGACGTTGGTTTTTTTTGTTTCTGAACAGTGCTATCTTTACAAGAATGAACAGGGACAGAATGACATTGTGACAACATTGCTACCATCTTCAGCTGCAGCTGGTAAATATTAAGAAATATTTACCAGACTCATTCTTACTTTCCTCGTTGATCGCTTTTATGGTTTATTTGAAGTGAAATTAAGAATGGGGTGCGTTTAGATTGAGTGTTACAATGTACTTGCAAATTTGACCACAAAGCAGAAACGAGAAGTGTTATCAATTATTCTCAAGAAAGTACAGGAGACTTTGCTTTTGTGGCTGCTGGTTTTTCTCTTTGTCTCGGGAGGTTGCCCCTCTGAAGATGTTAGGGTTTATTGCTAATGTGTTTGTCCGTTTATGGTTAATAGACATCTTTTTAATTTCTTTCTTTATTTTGCCTTTAACTACGCCTTATTTTGACTTTTGCTTCATTTCTAGCCAGTAACATTTCTGCAGGACAGCTGCTTTGTGCTGGTTTGTTCAGGTAGGTATTGCAAAAAGCTAAACGGAATGTGTGCTTCTACAACGCATACCACCGATAGTCTGTGTCAACTTCAGTTATACCAGTTGGTTCCTGACGCCCTTGAGCTTCAAAGTTGTATCATAAACTTGGAACGCTAGTCTGCACGTTGCCCGAATATCAGGCATATAGAAGTTACGCCCGTTAGCCTTTATTGATATCCACAATCACGCTTCCAATCCAGCCTTAGCGTTGGATTGCATTGAACTGCGTGAATTTCGTGACTGCCCATTTTTTTCCTCTAATGAAGCGCTTTCTAGACGCAGCCATATAATTCTAATCTAAGAATCTCGGACTGACTATTATCGTTTCACACTTTCACTATTTCTGTTCAGTCCAGACCCTCTGTCCAACTGGTGCGCGGCAGTAGCTCTTTCTCACTGTCTAAAGGGTAACCCCACCCAAAAAGAACAGCTTCTCAGAGTACAGCTGGCAACCAGTGTGGGTGAGTCTTAAATTCTCTTTACCGATTTCGGAGGTGTTCTTGCGTTTAAGTTGGGAGAAATTCGTTTTTGGTATGACTCAGATGATTCGTATGTTGAATGAGGAATTGATCCTTTCTCTTAAAGTGCAAGTGCAGAAAGTATAGACTGAGAGAAAAGCAGGCTTCGATGGGGTGTTAATCAGTGCTTTCCAGATATGGGTAATGCCCACTAAGCCACGTTTTCATAGCGAGACAGATGTTTAGTTCGTTTGTTTGTCTGTTTGGTTTTTCCCTGCAAGTGACTTTGATCACAGATGAAATGTGAAATGTATTTTACTTGACTTGCGGATAACAAGTGGCGAATGGATCCTGACAAATGACTTTGAAAATCATTTGTAAAAATGTCTTGGTAGTGTGTAAGCTCTAACAGATTCTTTGTCATTTTTAGGAAATCCTCCAGTTTCCTTGCTTCAGCAATGTACCAACATGCTCTCACAGGTAACCATGACTAATGTTCCTATAGCTGGATTTAAGGTATCATTAAGAAGACCGTGGTGGTAAGATAAGGCATTGCTACCCAGAGGTTATATATAGTTGTTAAAATTTTTTGTTTACGATTACTTGAATTTTTTCGCAGGGTGGAGAGATACAAACACGTGTTGGTTTGTTGTTGTTGCTGTGTTCGTGGTTATCCAATTGCTCCTTGGCCGTGTCTCATTTTCTTCATAATTCTGCCAACATTCCATACGTATCCTTTGGCTACTGAGCTGTGTCAATGAGAAAATAGAAACTGGAATTGTTCAAAGTAGCTTCATATGTAATCCTCAACAGGAAACGTGTACTAAGGTGACAGGGCACGCGTGTCATGACACGGTGCGTTAAGCGTGTCACAAATTTTCAGATATGTGCATGTTGAATACGCAAAAAAAGACAGAAGCGGTGACTCGCGATAGTCGCTCTCCGCCTTTTGTATTATTTGTAACAGGCTGGAACTGAAAAGGTAAAGGAAGAAGGAAAGTTCAAATTTTGAGAACGTGAGGCATAGTCGGAAGTGCAGTCGTCGGCTTGCCTTTCTTTATTGGCATCTGCATTACGAATGAACAGAGTCCTCTTGACAATGGCGACCACAGTTTATCTTGGGAAAAAATTAAACTTCTCAGTAAGTCTGTAAATTTCCTATCATTGTTGTCTTCTCAAAGCTATTCCTAGTCTCCTTAACTGCTGTAAGCTGATGGCTCAAGTCGAGGCTCATGGCGAGGAAGCTGACAGACTGGTTGGAGCTCTCTGTGCTCTTCTTTTAGGGATTTGTTTGGATAACAACGACAATTCAGAAGCTACATGTCAGAAGTAAGTCAGCTCTCGCTCTTAACTCTTTCACCCTAACATCAGTATGTATATTCTCCATACTGTTCTCTATACATTTCTTAAGGTGCGGACAAGGAGAATTTGTTTACCAATCAAGATCGAGAGTTTTTTTAGCTGATGATCATTTTCTTTATTATTGGTACCTTTATGTGTTTTTTAGGGGTGATACTGTAAGGAGGGGCCTGGTGCTAGTCACTCTTAGGGGGTGAAAGGTTTTTGCGTGCTACGGTGAAATGTCTCTCACGAGTTATCGAAAGAGATCGGGAAAAAAAGGGCCGCACAACGAGACAGTTGTATGATATATTAGACACACAGTAACTGTAGACTATACCTTTTCTACAGGGACGATCTTCGAAACTTAATAATCAAGAGAATAGGGAGTGACAACCTTTTGGACAAAATTAGTTTTATATCCAAGTCTGAGTTTTTCACGGCTGCCGTCAAATCTCCTGAGGTAAGATGACTTTGCTATGTTCAGTGATATTTTTTTTGTTTGCTT